GTAAGAGGGAACTTCGGATATTGATTCTGGTTCATCCACTCATTGTTATTATTATTATTGGGAGAAGAATAAGATTGGCGAAGTGAAGGAGGAGGAAGGTGGAGAGAGAAGGGGGGAATTGTCATTGGTCTTGGTGGTGTACATCTTCTTCTTCTTCTTCCTCTCTCCTCTGGTCTCTATCTCTTTGCAAGTGCTTTCATTTCTTTCACAATTGGGTCACATTGTCTTTCATTGTGAATTTGCACTTTGGGAATGACCAGGATCGTAACAATTGGTATCGGAGCGGACTTACTTGCTGGCGAGAGGTGTTAGTCACCCTAAACCTAATTCCGAATTAGGTTTAGGCTAACCTAATCTCGGATTACGGTTGGGAAGTAGGGTTAAGAGGGGCAGTGCGGTATGCGGATACTGCCCCCACCTGGTTACGTCATGTAGGGTCGACATCAGACCTGACCAGGTTGCTTGAGTGATTGGATGGGGTGGCGAGACACAAAGGAGGCTGATTGGAGTAAGCGAGAGGGAGTAGAGAGTGAGAGGTACTCGCACCTGGAATCTGCACTTCAAGAAGACATTGAGTGACTTTTGGGCTTCCCCTCAAGAGGGAGACTTGATCGGAGGCTGCTGTTACAAGCTGCGCCTGCACACGCGGACCATTTTCCAGGCCCTGCGTCCTGCAGGCCGAAAGCCTGAATTTCAGGCCGAAAGCCTGAAATCCAGGGCTTACAGGCCCCATGTCGGTTCAGCCCGAAAGCCTGAATTCCAGGGCCTACAGTCCCTGTGTCGTTTCAGACTAAAAATGGCAACAGCCTTTTTAGCCTGAAACGAAGGGCCATTTTCGGTCGTTCATCAGAACGACCGGCCCTGAAWCTCAGGCACCGAACCAGGGTTTCGGGAACAGGCTATTCTTAGCCTGTTCCCACGCCAGCCTCAAGCAGCTACTATAGCGCCAGCCCCTGGCACACTTCGGCATCGGCAAGAGTAGCCTCCTCGGCCTGGCTCGCCCTTCAGGCAGTCAGGAGGCAGGCTGAGGTAGTACATAGGAACTTCCCATGCACTTCACGAGGTAGGCAGGAGGCAGTTGTAGTCTTCAGGAATCGGGAGCAGCACTCTGGAGGGAGCGGTGCAGGGAGTAGTAGTAGCGGTAGCTTTTAGTCTTCAGCGCTGGGCGCAGTAGGTAGCTGTAGTCTCCAGCGTTGGGCGCCATAGCTAGGATAGCACTAGAGAGAGAGAGGGAGAGATTGGGCGGAGGCCTTGGGTACTCACCTACAGCGCCGTTGCTCCAGCTTCGTCTTGGAGGTACCTGCAGCACAACGCCAACATCACAAGTTAGTATCTGGCTCGTAACAGAGAGAGAGAGAGAGAGAGTTCTTCTTCTTCCTCTTCTCAGTCCACCATCTCCTTCTCCCCCTCTCATCATCTGACTTCACTGCATCTGCAGACTACGAGAGAAGAGAGACMGAGCTTGGTGACATCGGATCCAGACTCGACTTTTGGACTTCAGACAGTACAACGAGGGATTATTTGGGACTTGTGACAAAGACTTGGTGTTGACGACATTCCCATCTCTCTCCCTCCTTTCGTCTGATTCCCTCCTCTTCGTCTGTGTATGTCTGGACCTGGCGCTTTCTTCCTGTGTACAGCGCCAGGCTCCTTCACACTTGATGATGGATGCGATGTATGTTTGGTCTGCGTTCAAACATTGATTGGGCTAGTCATTAGCATTCTAGCATTCTGCTTCGCTATGTTTTGCTACGTGAATGAGGTGAGTCCCGGTCAGGTCAGGACTTCTATCTAAATCTTCCACTGCGCTATTCAGACACCGTTTTGTATGTATGAGAATGCACATTGCTCGTTGAGATTCTACTTGCACTGCATTGTCCATTCAATCCTTTTTATCACATTGCGGATCCTCGGTTATGATGTACATCGCTCATCTGAGCATGTAACAGTTGGTATCGGTGCACTGGACGTGAATCAGGACAACCTGATCTGACACGTGTGCGGGGACTAAATAGCTGATTAGTCTTTATTGATTGATTAGAGCACATTAGTTAGACCCCAAAATCACGATTTTGACCTTACTACCGAAAATCAAATTTTTTTTCTTTTCTTGGATTTTATTTTCTCGCTATTCTGTTGTGGAAAATCGCATCAGTGCAACATCTGAAATCTCCATTTTCGTTTTTCTTCTGAAAATCCGAAATTTCGTTGTTAAAAATCCGGAATATTTTTCTTTTCGAAAATTTCGATTTCCTGTTGCATTTTCCGTTACTTAGAAATTCGGAATATCTTCTGTTTCGAAATTCGTTTTTCTGAAAACGGTACGGAAAATCCCTCCTGCAGGTATTATTTTCCAAACTGTGAATATTCTCATCTGGGAAAATCCGAATACTTGTCATTTCTTTTTGGATTTTTTTTTTTCGCAGTTCTAGGATTCTGTTAGTCAGTTCTATATCATTTGCAGTCTGAAGCCGAAATTTTTTTTCTCCATTGATCCTTTCGAACTTCAAGGGAGATTGGGAGACCTACTGAACTTGCAAAAGTCGGGATTTTTATTTTTCTGGAATTTTTTTTTGCAAAGTTCAAACTTTTCCAGGTACCCCTGCGACGGCATTGGTGAGTTGCCACGTCAGCAGGCCACGTCAGCAGACTACGTCAGCAGGACACGCCAGCAGACCACGTCAGCAGGCCACATCAGCAGGCCATGTCAGCAGGCCACGTCAGCAGGCCACGTCAGCAGGCCACGTCAGCAGACTACGTTAGCAGGACACGCCAGCAGACCACGTCAGCAGGCCACGTCAGCAGGACACGTGAAACGGTATTCACCTGCTAGCAGTAGCGAATGCAGATCCCAGGGCTCGATCCCTAGACTTTACCTTACCTGTGTCGACCCCAAGAGTTGAACCCGTGACCTATGTAATCGTAACAGTTGGTAGGTTGTCGTAGGGTCTGTAGGTTGTAGGGGTTCGATCTGTAGACCTGTCAAGCAGAGATCTTAGCATGTTCTAGGAGTCATAGCTGCCACAGTCCTGAAAGGCCAGGTCGTAGCTGCTACAGTCCTGAAAGGCCAAGTCGTAGCTGCTACAGTCCCGAAAGGCCAAGTCGTAGCTGCTACAGT